CATTCCCGAGGATAAACTAGATGTAGACTGGAAAGCCAAAGCGAAAAATGCAATAATTGTTGCTAGGTGCATTCTTAACTCAGTTCTTGAGAATAATCTTAAGTAACTGGTGAATTTCAGTGTAGCTGGTGACTCACGTACTTTGCCTTTTTAAGCATTAGGATTTGTATGAACATTCCTCAGAGTTGGTTAAATCCGCCTGAGGAGGAAGGAAAAGGTGGTATCTGTGTATTTCATCTTGCTAATTCTGCCATACCTTCCCTCTTAGACCGCAGGATATTGGTCTTTTGCTAGTATTTGGTGAAAGATCCTGTACTAGAGATTCTGTAAGGGAAAAAATTATCCTGGCTGCTGGAACTGGAGGACAAGGGTGTCAGTGTTTCTGGAAATGTCACATGCTGAGCTTTAGCTTCAACAAGGTATTCGTGTAGCCTTGCTCCAGCCTTGATCAGACCTGTTTAAGATGTCTGCTTTTTACCTGCTAAACACAGGTTCAACTGCAAATTAGTATTACAGAACACTAGCTTGGGTTTTACAGTAGGGCCAGGACCACTGTTACAGTACTGGTTAACGAATGCTGTTAGCTGGACATAAAATTTGCCATCCGTGACAGTATCTGCTGAGTTTCCCTGTGTTTTTAGTAGCCTGGGGACAGGAGTTGGGGGGAAGGAGGAAAGCATTCAGGGAGAAGTCCAACGCTCAGCTGGAGAATCACTTCAAACCATTTTACCTGACTTCCAAAACCTTGGCTAGTACTGAGGAATACATAGAAACAAGACTGTTAACAGTGCTCATACAGTAAGTAAATTTGTAATAAACTTGTGATTGACTGTTTCATCACTAAATTGACTTAATCTTTCATAATGTACAAGTTAAGGGTGCCATTTCTGTAGAACATTATGCTTTCTTTTAATCCTTTTTAGGGCACTGTACATACCACTTACTAGTGGTGTCAGTACTTAATATGTTTTTCAAATTTAACTACGAAGATCCTGTGTTGGCTACAACTTGGCTTAAAGTATCTCATGGAATATTCTTATTTTCTATGGTCAGAGATTTGATTGCATGTATTTGAGCTGAATGCTTTACAATAAATTTTTTGTACCAATTGAAGGATTTTTCTTCTGCTTGTATTAGTCAAATGATCTTTAATCTAAGGAGGAACATTCCTCCAGCTACTACAAACTTTTAGGACCTGCTCAGCACAGCAGAACAGCAATAGTGAAGCTTCACTGCACAAATTAATGTTCAGCTAGCCCTTTGAAAATGTTACCCTTGCTACTCTAATGTAGGTAGAAGTTATGCAGAGCTTGCTTGTGATTATTAGCAATTCAGTTTGAGTTGGCCATTAAAAAAAATATATATATTAGGTACTCAAAATGTGCATATGTCTCGTAAAGGCATCCTACAGAACTCATTAAAATGCTCACCTTATTCAGGAAATTTTGTGTGTGAGAAAAGCCAGAGTTATAGTTTAGCAGTCTAAGAGCTCATGTCACAAGAACAGTTGTCAAGCCACTGGTAAGAACTTACATTAGTTGCAAAGTAATGCCTCAAATAAAACATGCAAGGAGATTGCATACCAATGTTTGAAGGTCAAATATAGCACAGTCCTTCATATAACAGAGCAGGGAAAGCTTTTCCAGGCTTCTGGTACAGGAAGTAAGTAGGGTATAGTAAATAATACAAAGACTGTTCATTTGTTGATAGTTTCCCTTCACAGTACACAGGAGACTCCTCATCTCTAAACTGCTTGCAAGTTAATGCTTTTATGAAGAAATCAAGACTGCTTGTATATAGAAATCAGACTACAAATAACACCTGTTCAGTGTTTGTCCTTTTGGTCTCAAAGAATTAAATAATTCTGTTAATCTGTAAATACTGTTTTAATGTTTTTCTGTTTGAGTATCAGTATTTCAAGCTTTAACTTTGTTAGCAAAGGCTTTGTGCGATCCGGTAACTTTTACATATTTTTTTTTTCTTTAGCATAAAGTTTCCTTCAGGAAAAGTTAGAAACCTGCTCACCAGAATCATACAGCAAAGGTCAAGCAGTTAAACAAGTGATTTTCTTCAGATACTGAACTTTAACTAGTAGGTTTAACTCTAATGATAAGCTTCAGAGGATGTTACAGTGACATTTGTATCTGTACCAAGTAGGTTGTTGCCATTCAAACTACTCATAATATGGTTCACCTTCGCCCTTCAATACTTTTCTTTAAAGGTCTTTGTATGAGTTGCACTGTATTTGCTGTAAAATTTGAGGTGAATCATTTCCTTAAGCTAAATGAAGATGTTTCTCATTATGAACACCAAAGACACTTGCATGTAAACTGGTATCATGCAATTCATGCAGGAAATTCCTTCTAGACAGTAAGCAACCACTGATATTTAAAACTGTAGTTGCCCGACAGCCAGGAAATCATTTAGGGCTGAGCTGGAGTTAAAAAAATCATTAGAAAGTCGGGATAATCATGGAACCCTTAAGAAACAAATACCTTCTGTCCATTGCTGCTGCCTTGCCTTAGAAGAGCAGTGACACAGGTATGGAAATGGAAAGAACAGTACTGGCAGCTTTAGGCACGTAACCTTGACAGGTCATTTACACTTCATTTCCCAGGCTTCATTCTCTTACCCTGGGTCACTGTTCATTTAGGTGGAAATGTGTATCTGCATCAATGTAACAAGAATCAGCCTTGCCCAGCAGGTTTTTAGTAAAATAAGAACTATGTAAAATATATGGTAAAATAATTCTCATCGTTTAAAATAAGAATTATTTCAATGCTTGAGGGACAGGACAGGGAATGATGGACAGGACATGACACTCACCAGAATTCTTCCTTAAAGGCACTGCCTCTGTAGTTGTTATCAGTCATGGGAACTGCACCTGAGGGGGACTACTCAAGCAATGGATTTACACCATCTCTTCCTCTCCTGCCACAATGTCTTCCATGAAGTGATGCCACCACGTGAGCCACTGTGCTATTCAACGAGTCTGGGCAGGTGGCACGATCTCCCACTTGCTACATTTTCTGAAGCAAATCAATTGTCGAATTAAAGGCTCAAATGCACTTTGAACTACAGGAGTTGTGTCAGCTTCCTAAATTTCAACGGGAAAGACACTTCTTATAAATGGAAATGCTAAAAAGGAATTAACACACTGCACAGCCTCCTCCAGAACCTCAGGGATTCTTAATTTGGTCAGATTTAAAAAAAAAAACAAAACAAAACAAACAAACAAACAAAAAAAACACCAACAAAAAAAACAACAAAAACACAGGTACAAAACCAATTTTCCCCCTAAAAAAAGGTGCAAGGACCTTTTTAGGTTATTACTATGACATTGTATAACTTATTTAGTCATTTGGGTAACACTGTAATGTTCCTGATACATTTTTACAAATGTACAAGGAAAAAAAAACCAGCAATAAAGTTCTCCCAATGGAAGAAAACTCACGATCTTCAGCTGGTCAGAATTCGCTTCAGGCAAAAACTGCAGTTGGCAATGGCTCAGGGCAGAGAGAGTGACAGCAGCAAGCTTCGACATGTGCTGCCATCCCTAGCCCCAGACCGCCCAATGGCACACCAACCCCAGCCACTCCCCAGCCCACCAAAATTCCTCCTCACCCACGTCCCCCGAAGACGAGAGAAAAGCGTAAACATTAGCTCCTTCATCTGCCCGTTTCCTGCTCGAGGCTATGAAGAAGAAGTGTTGCCAAAATATAAAAAAATGTTGTTACCAAGTTCTTAACCTTTGGCATGTCTCTTTCCTTACATTGGTTACTAAACCCAGTGGCTTATTTATCCAGGTATAATTCTGTGTAAGTGAAACATCTTTCCGTTTCTCCTAAGTAAATTAATACAATCAAGTTGAACTGAAGAACCTAAGAAGAAATTCTGCTGTATAATTGAACATTATTCTAATGTTACATTGACTTTTTTGTATTTTCGTAAATTATATATGTATAAATGCAAGTTTTAGTTTTAGCAACCATAATTTGCTACATAATTTACTAAACATAACGCTATACATCTGTTGCGGAGTAAACTACTAAGTAAGCTCCATATTTTAAGGTTGTAAGAATGCAACAACATAAGGAAAATCCAGCATACCTGACTGCATACGAGTCTCTCGAGATACTTAGCTAGGTGCCAGAGGGTTATTAATCTTTACCAGGAGTGAAATTTTTAAGCATTTATGTCTTTACACATATGTGAAATGAGCACACACACACACATATTTATGTTTTCATAATGTTCAAAAAATTTAATTATTCTTGCAAAATAAATATCTGTTATTGGTTCATTTTGTATCAAGTACACGTACAGTACTGTAATTATTAAAACTGCATGCACCAATCAAGTACATGTACAGTACTGTCATTATTAAAATTGCATGCACCACACAGCAGGCTGACCTTATGCAAGAGTCTGAGGGAAAAGACCCTATGCAAAGGAAAGCCCAAGAGCACCTATTCTTAAATACAACATGCTCCATGCCTGTTCATGTGGGGTCTGCAACATGTCCAGGCTTTGTTGCCCGTAATGAGAACACAAACTAACAGAGTGTCAGTTTATGCGGTGCTTTATTCCAGGGCCCGGGATTCCTGTGGACTCCTGTCCCAAGACAGGTACCCAAAGACCCACATTTTGAACGCATCTTTTATACCATTTTCCAAGCAAGGTTACATGATTGGTTTTACATTTCTCAGAAGACATAGCAGTTAAACATAAACTTACATATCACTTCGATTATATTCAAATATTAATCCATTTACCTGACTGTTAATCCATTTACCTAACTGTAAACATCGTGTAATTAAATCCCACCACCAGATTACATCCTATCTCTAGTTGCAAATTTGTCTTGTCCCCAGTTCTTTTCGACTTATTGTTTCTTGTTGGTCAGCATAGCCTTAATGTCTAACCAGACCCAACTTCGCTCTGACAAGCCCCGACTTGTTTCTGGCAGGGGCCCCTTCAAGCCTTGACCAAACTGTAACAGCTTCATTTAAACATTAATAAAGACAATTAATAGCTATAATGTCAAGTAATACATAGTTTAGTCCAGGCCCAGAAATCTTTCCTATCAATGTAGTTCAACTTTAGTAGCTACAATTGTTTCTCCTTGTAGGTTCTGAGCTACACAAACATAGTTTCCAGCATCTCTGGCTTCAAAATCAACAACAAGAAGAAGGCTCTTTGAGATTCTTGTAGTATGTCCAGTTCCTCTGTTTATCAATCTCGAGAAGTTTTTAACCATCACAGGCAACTCAAACTGTTTAAAAGAGGAAAAAAAAAACAAAATAAAACAACAACCCACCCACACAAAACATGTACTTAGCAACACCACCCCATCAAGCCCTGATGCAAGAGGTTGGATAATAGGAGCCTATATCCAAGAGTCAGCCCTCAGTGAGAAAACTGAAGGTCTGGCAGTTGCAGCAACATTCCTGCATTAAATATTGATGTGCCATAAGTTATGCCAAATAAGGGTAATACAATGGCTCTTCCACTCTAAGCACAAGTACTGTGTGTCTTCAGATCAGTGATGGGCTGAAAAAGCTCTGCCTGGAGCCTCTGAGTGAGCTCAGTTTTAGGCCACTTACTAAGGCTGCATTTGGGTACCTGATCAAATAGATCAGGTAGCTTGGGGGATGTGTTAGGATGGATGTGTGAGCTCATTTTCAGACCTTCAGTGTCTCAAAAAGAAGGCAGCAGTGGCACAAGTTAGTTGACCAAGCACATGTTGAAAACTAACTCCTCCTCTAGTTTTAGAAACACTGTATTAAATAACATACAAACTAATAGTAACATTCCCAAATACTTCTAAATTAATCCTTACATTCTGGTTTCCAAAATGTGTATGTAACTTCAAAGCCAAAATACAAAAATCAATGTTTGGATAGAAAGATGCCTTTTGACTTTTTTGTTATAACAGGCTTTTTCTTTACCCTCCCTTTTATAAGACAGTTCTCTGATGGACTGTTTATGAGGTCACACTCCCTGGCACCTCAGAAGGTCACATAGGACTGGATAAGAAGAGAAACTGGCCTAAAGACAGACTAGGGCACTCTCTTTCCTTCCAAAATCCATCAGCTGCTCATCAGCAGCTTAAAGTACACTGGCTTCTTCTATACCAGTAACTGGGATAAAATTGTAAGAGAGAGGTTTCTGCTTGGAAACCATCTTCTTTTGCTTCATAAAAGAGATGGCTTTTTACCAATATGAATGCTACAAGGCTTAAGCTATTAGTAGCAAAAGGGTAAGATATACATGTATCTAGAGCCAAAGCTACAATCTCACACTTGCAAAATGACCATAGAAAGGCAGCTGCCAGTCTTTCTGAAGCTTAGGGATGAGTCACAGTGGAGTCAGGGAATGCCTAGGAAGTGGCAGGCATTACCGGCTTTAAAAAGAAAAAAAAAAAATCTTGGTAGCTGTAAATCTCATGCAGAAATTCCTAACCCTTTGAAAGTAATCAAGCCACTTAGCAGAGCACTGCTTCCAGTTCCCAGCCTGAAAATCAAGTGCTACCTACAGTCATGTACTACTGCACACTTAATTCAGGCCTAAGTTAGTTCTCTAAATACAGTAAGTAGAACTTTCTTGCTGCTACTGAAAATGAAGGTAAAGGCCGTGTAAAGTGGATGCTGTTTGCCTGGTTGGGCTCCTGCTAGTCGAGTTTTTCTCATACTAATTGCCTTCTGCTTTGAAGCCTCTTTCATGGAATCAGATTAAGGAGTGGATCTGTATGCATTCACAGCAGATCAATGAGCAAATGTAATTGTCAGAGAGTGGAAAAAATAAGGAAAAAGTAAGAAAAAAAACAACTCAGTGCGGAAAAAAAGAGGGAGAGGTTAGTGAATACGGAGATGAAATGATGGTCTCCCCAGTGCAATGAACCTGGGAGCTAGCATGGATTAAAGTGCTGCTTCTGCTCAGGAATCAAGCAGTAGGTGACAGCCCAGCTGCTGGGCAGGGTAGTGGTGGTGAACAAAACTGTCACTGAGCTCCCTGCACTGGAAGTAGCAGTACCAATGAAAAACCATCCAGTTAACCTTAGAACCTTGTCAGTCCTTTTTCTTGCATAAAAGAAGGTCTATCTGGCCAGCATCACTGAGGATCCTCTATCTTCTCCCTCCACTCCCATATTTTTTCTTTGCAGTATGTGAATACTTTCTCAGTAAATGTTAAGTCTCCCAACAAATACTCTGACACTTACCTGATCATTTTGTCGGGGCAGAAATCCAAACACAAGTCTTCCCTCCCTGTTCCCAGGCACAACTGGAGCTGAGACTGTTTACTCCAGTGGATAATAAGCAGATACAGGCTGAAGTCTCTCTCTCACCCCAGCAGATAGGTGCAGTGACAGGGTGTAGTCCTCTGCTGATAGCGCATGTGCCCTGCACTGCACCTACAGTATCCACAGCAAACAAGGGAGTTCCTTTGCAGGTGTTTAGCTATCTATGTTCCATCAGTGCTTCAGGGGCATAAAGGCGTGGTGCACATGCCAGGGTGCATCAGGAGCTGTAAGACCACTGGAAGCACCTGGGCCAAGAACATCCAGCAACCACGCTTGGGGCAGCCATCAGGCTGCGAAAGATGCAGAAGTAGCAAGGGGTGGACACTAAGGAGATACGGAGTTTTGCAAGGCCAGGCTGGGTCTAGGATTTTAATTCCTTCAATTGTTCTTAGTAAATACAGTTAGTTACAAAAGACAAAAATGGGGTTTGTATAGACAGTTACTACAGTCCATTAAACAGGAGGGCTGGCAAATGGAACACAATGCCAACCCTTCGGGCATAGAGGATCCCTTTCCCATGGTTAAGGGTTCCATCTTCTAGCAGTCCCTCCCTTTCTCCTAGCCTGTTTAGGATAAACAGCAGGAGGAATGAGGCTGAGTAAGAATCAAGCCCCTACTGTAACTGGTCAGGGTGGTTAGAGGGAGAAGAAAGGGAACCATCAGTGTTGCTAGTCAGATACATCATATTGCAAGAAAAGAGACCTCAGATTCACTCTGTGTTTCCAGTGGATTCTTTCAGATGAGGCTGGGCAGAAGCAAATTCTGCTTCTGGATGAGGGCAACAATTAAGCTTAAAAATTCTGTGCTGGGATGATTCATGTGCCCCAGCCACAGAGAAGGAAGGGATATCAAAGGCAGAGGCATCAGTGAGGCTTTGTGGCCCCTAGAACAGTCTCCTGACGCTAGCTGGCTTTGACCCTGTCTGAGGCTTTCTTTGGAAATGCTGCCAGAGCCCAAGTGTCTCTGGAATGGAAACCTGAGGGAGGAGTGTGCCTTGCTGAGCTCGATTTTTGCTAACATGCTCTCCAGCTTCAGCCCTGTGCTACTTCTAGATTTGCAGGGAAAGACGGGCTGAAGTTCAAAAGGGATATGCTGCCCCCGCCTGCCAGCACACTTCAGCTTTTATGCAAGAGGCAGACACCTCAACCTGAAAGAATTTTTACTTCAAATCCAAACGCTGACTGCACGCAAAGTCTTGCCTTTAGGAAGAACAAACCATATCAAGCAGGGCATACATCTCTTACCTCTTCCCCTGGATACTGCCACGTGAAGTGCACATCTACATCTGGCTCCCCAAGGACTGTGCAGATCACAGCAACACGGTCACCGAGTTTGGCTCTACTGGATGATGCCTCAATTGTGGCTGAGGGTGGGCCCTTGGGAACTGAGAGAAAGACAGTGCTTGGGAAAAGAAAATTAGCTTCTAAAGTTAAATACACTGGCAAAACTGAGATTCGATTTTTGACTCAGTTTGCTTAATCCAACAGGTGTTTTATGCCTGCAAATACACTGGGAAATTGCTGGAATTTAGACCTACAGTGTTTTATCACATATACTTTTGTTCAAGATGTTAAAAATCTGATTACATTACTTATTTTACTTTTTTAAAAAATTGTTTTCTTAGACATGTCAGCACAAGAGTCAGTTTAAGCACATAGAAAACTGCACTTTACCTTCCACATACAATAGGTGATATTTGATGGAAATCTGAGGTGCTCCCTGTGACTCCGCTTTGCAGTAGACAATGCCTTTATCATCAGAAGTAGGGTGCTGGTAGACAAAACCCTTTTTTGCATCATAAATAATATCCGTTCCATCTGTTTCAATTTCTTCTGCTGGAAATTCCCTGTGTAAAGTTACTATTGCTGAAGGAGTAGTAATGCGGCATGGGACAACTGCAGGTTTATCTGGGTTCAGGTAGACAATCTCAAAATAATGGGGAGTAGGCACAAAAAGTTCCTCTTTGTCTGTGCAAAAGAGTTGACATAGTTAGAAAAATATTTACATCTTGGTTTAACAGAAAGAAAAGAAAGCACATACAGCAAGAGAAAATAGCTATGAGCAATATTTCAGGCAAATCACTTTGGCTTAATTTTTGATATGCACCCACAAAAGGAAAAATCACAGCTTGCATTAAAAACATTAAATCAAAAAGAAAAACAAGGTATTCTTTACTATATCTTCAGACTTTTTATATCTTATGAAAAGCTTTGGAATTCCTTTTTAATAAATTTGAAAATACTTATCTGGATCCCACCACCATTGGCAAGATAAGGACTACTAGGAAAAGATATTCTTTGGAGCAACAGACTTTTTATATGTATGCTTTTAGGCCAACTGATTTATTGGTTTAAGTAGATTAAATATTTAGTGCTTTTAGAATGACAGTTAAGGAGTATTTCCATAATTTGCATGCTCCTTAGATATATAAAGATGAAATTTCTCTTTCTAGCGTAGGCATTTATGTAATAACTTGACTGAAAAGTTTATTCCAGAATTTCTAAAGGAATGTATCCCAAAACCATTAAGCAGTTCTGATAATTCTGCATAGTCTCATGGTCTAATTTAGCTCCCAAATGTATGGCAAACAATCCTACCTTACAATTTTGTACTAGAATGTTTTCTAGCCAATAATACTTTGGTTCTAATTGGGATTTAAAGTTATTTTACATCCAAAATGCTTTCGATAAGAAGATCAAATTCAAAATTTGATTTCAGCGCTGTTGTATCAGGTAGCAGTAAACCATGCACAAGCTCTGTGGGACAACACATGATCTTAGAAGAGTGTTTTGCCTCTCAACATGCTATATAGACTCCCGGGAGAAACTGTGGCCTTACCAAGGTCAGTAAGGTCAAGATTTTTAAGCCAGTGCAGGTAATTGGAAAAAAGTGGCGGGGCAGGGATCATCAGAATGCCACGGCAAAATGAATCTTCTGCACAGATTTATTTTCTTTGTTGAGAAACAATTTCAAAAGTTAAACATTTTTATATTCATTTTATAGGAAGATCCTCAGAAAGTCTGTTACTATTTTCAAAGGTGTTTGCTTCGCATTGCATTATGCATTACTTTGCGTATACGTTTTGCATAATCCATAGGGAAACTGGACTCAATAAATCATACTAAGCAAGTATTTTCTGCTCAGCAGCACTGTCTTCCTTAATATCCACTAAAAAAAAGATGAAAATAGCGGAAATAAAATCTTGACAGTGAAATAGCTGATGTAGCTTTATTTCTGTCTTACTAGCAAATATGCTTTCAGTAATAATCCCCCAGGAGTTAATTACCTGTGAAAAAGATGTACGTTGAGCCTGTTTTAGTCTCATCCTTCCTGCATTTGTTACCATTGCACAGCTGAAGCCAGCAGCTGTATTCACCTGTGTCTGCTGCAGTGGTGTTTGCCAGGATCAGCTGACCATACCTGTCAAGCTGCTTTATACTGCACAAAAATAAAAACAAAAGGCACAGACAAGCACAGATGTATCTTCTTGTACATTTCTGTCAGCTCTGTTCTACTTTTGATTTTATACTCCTACTCTGCAACTGACCTACCTTTCAAAGCTCTGTTGCAACTTCCCTTTTTGCTCCAGCCGACACCTGTTTACACGAGTAGTTTTAATGATTTTAACTACACACAACAGCGTGCAGGTCTTTTTGTCTTGTAACTTAACTTTTGGATTCTTTTCAGTCCCCATTTTTTAAATGGCCAGTGACTATTCCAGGCAATATGTTCACCTATGTTTTGCGTCTGTTTGTCCACGTATAGCCCTTTTGTTCATGCTAAAGGTAAACCTGCAGTGCTTTTTTAATAGCTTAATAAACTGTAGCACTGCTTCAATACATCTAACAAAGACAATTCATGAGAAGTAAATAGCAGGTACTTTAATAAGAGTTTGTTTAATGATTTATGCCTGCTTTCAGGCTGAACGCTTTACCAATCTTTAACATACTGCTCCAAGTTTCCACTTGCAAATACCATCATTTAAGAGCTTCTATCTCGGCTTGGATTTGTACTGCAAGTCAGTCATTTTGCACCACCTACTCCTCTGCCCTAAGCCACCTCACTAGCATACGCTCCCTGGAGTTCTATCATTATAAATTACATTATAAATTACCTGGAGTTTTTGGATAAGCTTTGAGAGATTTTATTTCTGCAAGAGATCCTGCTGCATATCATACCCAACAGGAAGAAGAGAGAAATGCAAAACATGTCCTAGTCTGTATTATTATTATTGTTATTTAGTTTCACAGTTCACGTTTCATAGGCTATATGACTGCATCAGCATAAAATGTTTTGCAAGTATAGAGTATTAAATGTCAACATTACAGAGAAACCTTTACGCCAGAGCATTTTTGCCTCCTTTATTTAACACAGAAACTGAACTATAGCTCAAAATCCCAACAGACAGAAAAATAAGGTCAGAGTTAATTAATTATTGTACAGTGTGTTCTGCTTAGCTGAGAACAAGCTACCCAGTAATCAGCGGAAATAGCCTACCAAGGTAGTCACCCACAAACATGCACTAACAAAACCTGGCAACTGAGAGTGGAAGTGTTGAAACTTGTGACAGAACTGTATTAAGCAGACAAAATGGGCCATATAAAGTAAATTACAAATGGTAAATCCTGCAGTTGACCAATATTTCCAGGATAATTTTTAATTCTTTAGCATTTTAGATGCAAGGAAATCTGACTCAAAAGCCAAAACTTTGTGTCATGGGTTGAGGTACCTGGGTTTTTGGTAGTAGGGAGGTCATAGGGGTGGTTTCAGTTAGAAACTGCCAGAAGTTCCACCGTCCTATGAAAAAGCCAGTGATAGCCAGCTCCAGGAGGGACTTTCCCCTGTTGCTTGCCAAGGCTCAGCCAGTGGAGCTGTGCTTCTGTGACTAACATACTTGAGAACAGAGGAAGAGAAGT